GGAAGACCCACACCAGCCATCGTATTCCGCCTGTGAAAGCCTTCAACAGTACGGTAATCCTGAGTACTTTTCAAAGTTGTGGCTAGGATGTGTTGTATTCCAAATAACAGGATATAACAGCTGTAAAAGGTATTGGCAATGTAACTATCATGGGCATACTAAATCATGCACAATTTCATTGCATGACATTTGCATGCAGTTAAAAATTGCACTAAAATTTCACAACTTCACCAAACATCAGAACACAGAAATCTTGAGAGATTTCAGGTGACAACATGAGATCTCAGGGGAGAGATTGCTGTGATTGTTGTTGTTAATATTTGGCACCCACATAACTGGAGAGAAGGTTTGACACTCCTAAGGAATGCTAAGTTAGTCAGATGCACATGTATCAAAAAGTCTGATTAAGATGTGAAAGAGATCCACAAAGGCCACAGTTGCTTTGGGATGAGGGGAAAAAGAATTGAATGTAAATTTCAGTACCTACAGGATTTTCTCTCCCTGGTGAAATCTGGCGTGTTCATTGATTCAATTGTGATCTGTTTACATTGTCTTGCTATTGTTAACTGTTTTAATTTGTATCCTATGGATAATTTTCTATTTTAAGGTACCTCATGGGAAGTTTTGCCAAAAGGGAGAATCTATAGAATAAATAATCGGACAACATTTTGGTTCACGCATATTCACTGCTAAATAATTTAATTATACTGTGCAATTCAGTTGAACTGTCTCCAAACATTAGACTTCCCTGTTTACAGAGCGGGTTGATGATGACTTATAATGTGAACTAATTGACAGACACAACCCTATCTTACTATGTCATCAGCTGGAAAAATGGTTAGTCACACAGCCAGCATACAATCTTTCCATATTGGAAAAATCCCTTTGTAATGGCTTTTGTAAAATAGAGGAATAACATGCTGATCATGCTGCTTCCATTTTCATCTATTAGATACTACTCTGCCATCCACTTTAACAGTGGCCACATACTGTGATTATAATAGTGAAGGTGATGCAGTAAGAGAGAGCGTGAGCATTTCTGAAACCCAAGAGCTGAATGGGGAAAGCCTGGTAACACCTCAGTTTAATCAAATTTATCATGAATTATCTATCATCCATCAGAAGCTACAGGTAAAATAATAATAATGGTTCAGATATCAGTATCTTTTCTTGTTTTTTTCAATGTCAGCAGATGTTGCTGTATTTTGTTTTTGGTTCTTTTGTCTTTTATGGTGCAGCAAGAGAAATTAAGTCAGCAAGAGTATGCTTTGAAACTTGAAAAGCGAGAACACTTCGTAGCTGAACGGGAAGTCCAGCTTTGTAGGCATGAAGTTGCTTTGACCAAGATAAGAGGCGTTGAAGAGGAAGTTCACACAAAATTTCAGATTATGAAGGAGGTATTCCTACTTACAGGATTCTTAAGTTTGAGAAAATTATTCTAACTAAAATACAGGCTGTATTTATAACATCAGACAGAAGTTGTGAACTTACGGATTTGTCTTCCCTCAGGACATCCACATTGCCCATGTAGCTGGGAATGCAGTGCAGCTGGGGAATCAGGCCCCACTGGACTGTATCAGTTCTCCACTCTAGAGAGAAATAATCCTTTTCTTGGGTAATTACAGAAGACACTAAACAGAGGGCATCAGTAGTGGAAGTGGACTGAAAAACAAACATTTGGGTAATCAAAGGACATATAAAGGTTTTAATTGTATATTTATTTATTGTTTTAACGTGTTGTGAGCCGCCCAGAATCCCCCATTGGGGGGAGATGGGTGGGGGACAGATTTAATAAATAAATATAAATAAATAAATATACGGAGGCACTAAAAAAGATGTTATGGGGAAGACAAATGAAAGACTTCTGTGTTAGCAAAACTAGGATTCATGATGTAAAGTTTATATAGCCATGGTATTTGTGTGTGTGCATGTGTGTGTCCAGAAAGTGTGAGGTAACTATGATGTATACATTACAGTTTGATCTTATTGCTTCCTTTAGTATGTCTATGAGGTTTGTTTTGTTTTATTTCTTTTTTCCTTTCTTTCCATGGTCTATTAGCCAGTTTTTCTGCCCTGTATTAGAAAGGACTATATTTCAAAATGTTGACAGAAGGGTTACTCAAGGAAGATTAAGTTTCATCTTCCTTTAGAATGTTTATCTTTTTCTTATTTGATCTCGAGAATATTGGATTTTTATTTGAAAAAGTGCTGGGTGGTACAATTATTTATTTCCTTATATATTGCATTTATATCATGTCTGCCTTATGTGCAGAGACAGTCTTTGATTTACAGTGCTTTTTGAAAACCATGGTTAATCCTGTTTTAAAAGTTCTTAGTTTTGTTTGCAGCAACATGCAGCTGAAATACAGGAGTTGTCCGATACCTTGAAAGAAAAAACAAAGGAGAACAAAAGGCTGAAGACATCATTTGAAACATTAAAGGAGCTGAATGACACCTTGAGAAAACAGGCAATAACAGTTTTAACTGACTCATTAATCTGGTGTTATAAATGCAATAAACAGAAGGTTATTGTTTTTAAAATGAAGTATTAATACCATGGTGATGGTGATGATGATGACGACGATGATGACAGTGACAAGTATCTACAAATGATGCTGTTTAAGAAATATAGTGGCCAGGAAAATTCATGTTAATATACCCTAATGCATAATAGGGTTTTTTAAAAAAAAAATTAGCATTTGAATTAGTGTAGCTTAATAGTCTTTTAATGATTTAAGTTCTTCTATTTGAAAATTAAAGTTTTCAAATTATCTGTTACAGTTTCATATGTTTTAGCAGTAGACATAAGTGCCCAAGTTTGCTATTGGGGTGCTCTGTCACCTAACAAATATAGCCTTTCACATGCTAACTTTTAATGCTCCCGTATGCTCTTCTAATGTTCCCACCTCATCTTTCTTTCACTTTTTATACCTTCTGTGTCTCATATATTTTAGTTTATACAATGTATATCTTTTATACCTTCTATATTTTAGCTCTTTACAACTTCTTTTAGATTTTCACTTTTTATATTTTTATACCTTTAATGTCATATACACACACACACGCAATTATTATTATTTACACACACTTTATTTATTTATTTATTAAATGTATATGTCACCCATCTCCCCCAGAGGGTGACTCTGGGAGGCTCACAATTAAAATCAAACCTCAAAAACAGTTAAAAATATAAATATCCACATTAATTTAGTTAAAAAGGCAAACTATATCAGAAGACCATATACATAAAAAGACTAAAACATTCAAGATGACGGGGGTAGAATCAGTTACCCCATGAGCCAATTCCAATGGTGTAAGCTCCCATCAGGCCCCCAGGCCATCTGGCATGGTCAAGATTTCACACTCTTCCTGAAGGCCATGAGAGTGGGGGCACACCATACCTCGGGTGGTAAGTTGCTCCACAGAGCAGGGGCCATGGCAGAAAAGGCCCTCTTCCTAGACCCCACCAGTCGAAATTCCTTGACTGGTGGGGTCCGCAACATGCCCCTTCTGCCAGACTATTTTTATCTTTTATCTTTTCATAAATAAATAAATATATGGAGGCACTAAAAA